AATTTTAAAATTGATTGGTGAAACTGAGAGTTAATTTTATATTTTATTTATAAAATGGATTTCAAATTTCTTTTTTTAGATGACTAGTACAGCAGAAGAGTGGAGAAGTGTTTCTGATGAATTTCGTGTATTACATAATTTTTATAACTGCGTCGGCGCAGTTAACGGGTAACACGTAAAAATAAAGCGTCCAAATGGTTCGGGAGCACTATATTATAACTATAAAGGAACATACAGTATCGTTCTTATGGCTATTGCGAATGCTAAAAAGGAATTTTTCATGGTTGATATTGGATGCAATGGACGCGTGTCTGATGGTGGTGTCTTGTTTTACACTAAATTCTGGGAGCGTTTGCAACAAAATCGTTTAAATATACCGGAATGGACACCATGCCAAACACCTCGGAATCATTCCCATATGTTTTTATAGGAGACGAAGATTTCGCGCTAGGCCCTAACTTTATGAAGCCTTATCCTCAAAAAAGAGTATCACAAGAAGAGCAATTGTTTAATAAACGGTTATCGAAGGCTAGATGTGTCATTGAGTGTGCGTTTGGTATCCTCGCCAATAAATTTGGAGTTTTCCAGAAAGCCATAAGTCTCAGCCCGCAGAAAGCCTCAAAAGTGACAGCAGCTTGTTTTTATCTGCACAATTATTTAATGAGAAAAGATTCTAATTATCAGGCACCATATTCCAATGAGTATAATTTTCAATTAACCACCGTACAAAGCAGTTCGGCGCGAAATTCAACAAGATGTGCCAAAACTATAAGAGACAAATTTTGCAAATATTAGGTGCGTTCGTTTAAAATCTCCAGCAGAAACCAACCAACTGCCAAATTCCGGCGAAATGTCATCTGTTCGCTCACAAGAGAGAAATATCCAAAATAGTACGCGAACAGAAAATTTGCAGAAACTTGCAAGTTAGACGAACAGCTGATATAATTTTTGTTTACATTTAAAAGTGTAAAATTTATAACGTACGAAAAGTTATCACAAAGTGTTATACTGACACAGTTTATTGATTAAACAAATAACTACTTATTTCTTACAAGTTTAATTAGTCGCATTTTGTAATTTTTATCTTCCAAACCATCAAATTCAATTTTGTGATTTGCGTAAATGCCAACCAGCTGTTTTTGATCAGCTGTTTTCCTGTTGGCAAATTGCTGTTGGCAAAAATTTTTCCAGCAGAAACCAGCAGCTTCCCCTCAAAATGAAATGTCACTTTGCTCTCTCAATTTCCCCTACTTTGCAAGTTTTTTGCGTACGCGAACCCAAAAACTTGTAAGTTTTGGTTAAACATGAACAATTAACAGCTACGCGAACGAACCTATTACAATGACGAATATAGATGCTAACTTTTGCCACTCAATTTTTATCACTTATGTATATGAAAAAAAAGAATAATAAAAGTGTTAACTTAAAACAACAGACAATCTACATACTACTTTCTTTTCTTTCCACCTTTATAGCTAGGTCAACAGGCTTCTCATTTTTATTTAAAAAGTGAAGAGCGTTAAATGTCCAAGACTTTGGAATATAAACGTCTTCTGTACCAACGCCGGAGCGCTTGGAGTCAATAATTTTTTTCAATTCCTTGCGATAATTTGTTCGTAAAGAATTTATTTTTTTCGGACATCACCTACAGTGGCGTTATCATTAATTTTTTTTAAGATTAGTAATAATTTCTCATGTCCGGCCGTTTTTTTTATTTTATTCATGTAGCTTTTGGACGAAGGATGCCACAATTCCGGCATACTTTCCAATTGTAGGATAAACTCCTTCAAACACCTTTGGCCATTCGTTTATCCCAACACCGCCGGCTGGATATGTGCACTTTCGTCGTCCGACATTATTAAAAATTACCGCTGCCAAATAAATAATTAATCCGATAATTAACGTTTCGCCTTTAACATTTAAATCTCCACTTTATTTTGAAATACACACGTATTAACGTATCGCGAACGAAAAATGCTACACGTTCAATATTTATTGACAGTACTGCGATCCGCGATCCAGATTTCAAAATTTCCAGAAATTTTGCGATATGGATCACGATCCATCAATATTGCATGCTACACAGTCAATAAATATCGCGATACTTGGATCACGTCAATAAATATTGATCGTGAGACATGGCCCATATGCACTGACTCGTGACGCAGAAGTGCAACGTTTAGCAAAGGAAGCCGGTGTTAATAACGGCCTGTCACCACAGGCAAAAGTTTTTGCCTACCAACTGTCATTTTGATTGCCTGATAAAAATTTTATGAAAATGTAGCTGTCAAAGTACCAAATTGCTGGCAATATTTATCAAAATAAAAGCTCTGATAATTATTGCTTGCCAAGAGCAATATGCGGTCTCCATGGGCAAAATTTTGCCTGATAACATTATCAAGATAAAAACTTTTGCATGTGGAGACAGCAAGTAAGGTAGATGCGTGTTGTTCGCATACCATTTATAATCCAGAGTTGGTGATACAACGTAATGGCGGCAGTGCGCCATTGACATATCTCAGTGTTGTGGAGAAATTGAAAGTGCCTGGGCGACGCCGACGAGGTTGAGTGTGGAACATAAACCACCAAAAGATGATATGGAACAGAAGGATCCAAATTGTTATCTATTTCCAACATTGGAAGAACTCGTTAAGCCATGAACGAAAGACACAATATCACGCGGGAAGGAAAGAACGAAAAAAGTTATTTTCTGGCTGCCGAAATCTCGACGCCGTCTTTGTTGTAAGAAGTAAACAACGAAGAGAACGGAGAAAACCGCGAAATTGTTGAACGCATGAAAAATCATTTTTATTATGCAAATTCTTCTAAAAATCATGCCGTTGTGTTAAATTATTCTTTATCTTATGTGTACACACGTTGTCGCAAGCGCAAATGAAGAAAATTGCAGTAAAAAGCCACCACCAAATTGTAAACAACGAAGAAATGTAAATAAACGGCTAATGTCAAAATCTTTAAACTGAGCGATGAGTCGTGGGTAACCGCCTTTGAGAAACCAAACACCTCACCGAACTCACTTGAACCCAGCACCACTGTGCTCAGTCCAAGGCACATTAAACAGGTAGTATCAGTAGAGCAAAAACAACATTTGCGTGTATTTTGTTGTTGCTTCTGGTATCGAAAGTGTCAACAACTGTTCTGAATTTTTTCTTCTAAATCAAAGCGTGCCATGTGAAATACAAAAAATTATAAAAAATAAAAAATTGAAATTGGAAAAAATAAAAATTGTTGCAACTTTCTTTCCTAGTAAATTTGTTTGCTTCTCGAAGCATTGATCCATCCTTTACAAGGGCCAGTAATCAGTGGTTGTGCTGCTGAGTTGGGCGAACGTTCCAAAAGCTGCTATTCAATCGCTTGTTTTGTATGGAAAAAGGTTTCACATGCAAATGGATTTTAACAATTCAGAATTTTTGTGAGAAAAAATTAAAAATATTTGACATTTTCGAGACCAAATAATTTGAAAATAAATCAAATCAGCTGCTCTACTGATACTACCTGTTCAATGTACCTTGGCTCAGTCCATATCTTAAAATTGGTTGCCTTAGCGCACGCTTATTTCATCAACGTTTAATTACTGTTTTAAAGTGGCATCCAAAACATTCCAAGCCGCCTGTATCGCTCCTCGGACAAGTGCTTTGGCGTGAATTTTATTACACTGCCGCTGCTTCGGAGCCGAACTTCGATCGCATGATAGGCAATAAATTCTGCATGCAAATACCGTGGGAAAGTAATGAAGCGCATTTGGCAGCGTGGACGCATGGGCGTACTGGTTTCCATTTATCGACGCTATAATGCGTCAGTTGCGCCAGGAAGGTTGGATACATCATTTGGCACGTCATGCAGTGGCATGTTTCTTGACACGCGGAGATTTATGGATTTCCTGGGAAGAGGGACAAAAAGTATTTGAAGAGCTGTTGCTCGATCAGGATTGGGCATTGAATGCAGGCAATTGGATGTGGCGCTCAGCATCTGCCTTCTTTTATCAATACTTTCGTGTATACAGCTCCGTTGCCTTCGGTAAGAAAACCGATGCTACAGGCGCCTATATAAGAAAATATGTACCTGAACTCGCCAAGTATCCAGCAGGTTGTGTGCTGGGTGAAGATTACCCACATAGCATAGTCAATCACGAGCAGTGTTGCCAGAGGAAGTGGTCGAAAAATCTTCATTTTTGTCAAAAAAAAATCTTCATTTGAAGATTTTAATGAAAACAAAATCTTCTTCACAGCCAAAAATCTTCACTTCCCATGAACCCATGAAAATGAAATGATATTGGTATATTTTCAAGTTTTTATAATTTAAATCGTATACTTATCAGATACAAATGTATAAACGTATGTATGGATTTCATATGTACTAATGTATGCATATATAAAAATAAAAGAGCTAAACTAGCTAGATTGTTACGTGTTTAAATTAGTTTCCATACTGTAAAAATAAACAATATATTAAAAAAAAAGAAAACGACCGATTTATGTATACATATTCACGTAGAAAATGACTTAATCTATCAATTAGAGTATATGTCGTTTTTAATATATGAAAGCAAATTAATATCAAATGGCATATTGTGGCAATTGATCTGGTTTCTTTTTAAATAATCTTTTGTATATAAAATTCCGTTTAATGTTTCCACATCTAGTTTGTTTCTAATCGATGTTTTGTTTAAATTGACTTGGGAAAATATTCTCTCGACGTTAGCCGTTGATACAGGTACTGTTAAAACAGACCAAATTAATTTTTGTAATAATGGAAAGGAAGGCGAGTCATCCATTCTTTTTGAATTTAAAATTACTTTCCAGAATGTCTCTATATCTGTCGCTTCAGATAAGTCACGATTTTTGAAATCAAAAGTTCGTAGTTCTCTCCATTCAGAATCTAAATCTTGAATGTTATTCACTTTGAGAGTTGGAAAGTGTTGAAATACAATTATAATTGACGAATGCTTTTTACTTATAACATTTTTAGGAGACAACATTTCCACTCCTTTCAAGGTTTTATCAGTGAAATCGAATCGGCAAAGCGTCTCATTACACAAAACCACATAAAAATTTAACGCATTATGTGAGAATCCTAATTTTTGTGCTGAGCTCAAATCGTTAAATAACAATTCTGTGTCAGCTCCAAAATATAATTCATTTACTGGCTTTATATATTCCGAGTTATTATATAAACGCCGCAGAGATAGTAAGTCAATATTTTCAATATATATAAAAGAATCTAAGAATTTCATAAAGAGATTATTTAGTTCTTCGTTAAGACAATGAATTTTCGGTGACTCACTTTGGAATAATTTGTTAAGTTTATTGATTTCCTTCAAAATGTACTTAAGAAACGTCAAGTATACTTTAAATAATGGTTTACGTAAATTCTCAAGAATTCTTAAAGTTGCCTGAAATTTTTCAACTTCCTCGTGAAGGCAAAAAAGTTGAATTATATCTAACTGATAAGGGTACTCTTACGACTGCTGCTTCTAAAGAGAGCCAACGGGTTTGATTCGGATGCAACAATTTTAGAGGTTTTAAGTCAAAAAGCTCTTGCAAAGATGAAAATATATGTATTCGTTTTGGACTGTTAGCTAAGAAATTGTAAATATCCCTAACCGTACTTTCTACCTCTAAAGGTAGCTGTGCACATGCTTTACTTGAACATAAGGCTAAAGAATGGCAGGTGCATTTCATAACAAACAGATGTGGGCAATCTTTTTTTAATAATGTGGCGACTGAGTGTTTTCCACCAGTCATCACACTAGCCCCGTCAGCAGCAAAGCCTAATAACCATTTCTTATAGTCAACATTATTTTCATTAAAAAATTTAACTATTGAGTCATATATACTTTCCGCGTTGGCTTTAGTGATTTTCAAACATGTCAGAAAAAAATCTTGTACATTACCATTTTCTTCAATTTTCACAACTAAGCACAATAATTTTGATGTCGATATGTCCGTAGACTCATCTGCGCACAAAGAAAAATGTTTACAACGCATATTTTGCAGAAGGTGGTCCAGCTGTGATTTCCCCAGTACATTTTTTATTAAAGCTGTTGTTTTTGTACGCCGACAAGCGAAGTTTTGTGCCGCTTTCGACTCTAAAAATGTGTTATTTATAAGAGGTGAAAGATGATCCATGCTGGTGAAGGCTATATTATGCTCTGCACAAAAAGCCGCAACTTTTATTTCAGCAAAAAACGTTGCTCGCGGAATGCCTTCTATAATTTCTTTGCTTCCCTTGTGTATATTAACTGCATTTGAATTTTCAATATGTTTGGTGGTCTTTGCATGCGCAGTTAAATCCTTTTTTCCTCCAGATGCTTTAAGATCGACGCCACATACTTTACAACGCGGTAAGCCGTGCGCTCCTGTTATTAACCACTTCTTAAATTCTTCATCATCTCCCCAATGTGCGTTAAAAGATCTCCTCTTTGTTTTAGATCGCTTTATAAACAAAACTACAGTCAACAAAGCGTATTTTTTCTTTTTATGAAAAATCTACCTCTACGTATTCCTCAGCGGCAGCGTCTCGTTCAATCCCTCCTTCGGTATTTGCAGAAGTTTCTTCTAAAATAGGAAATCACATTCACAATATATTCATAATACTTTCATTGAGTATATACACTACTAAATATAACAGGTAAACTTGCTAAACATAATTACCTTTTCTTTTCCTCGTGATTGTTATAAACTTTTCCATTTCATAGTGTTCGTTATTCAAAATGGCATCGCACTTGACACCTGTCATTTGGTTAAAGTGAAGTTACTACCCATATTGACGTTTTTAATACAGGGCGTGCAGCATGAAAAATTTCACTTAGAGTACACTGACAAAAATTTTAGAGTTGTATAGTACTTTTTCGAAAACGTAGTATGTAGTCGACATAAAAGAAAAATCTTTTTGCCAATATAAAAATCTTCATTTTGAAGATTTTTTCAGTGCAATTTTTGGATATCTGAAAAATCTTCATTCGAAGATTTATAACAAAAAAGATCCAAGGAAATCTTCATTTTGAAGATAAATCTTCACTTATGGCAACGCTGCTGGCACGTCGGAGGCCAGATAATCTATGTATTCTACATTTATCGAATCGGACAAAAACCTTTTGCACTCGTTCTATCCTGGAAGTGTGATAATTATAAATAGGAATAGGAATATTTGTTTCACATTTTGCTGAGCCGCTCGATGCGCTCGATTATGTTCAGCCGAGATAGTTTATTGGTGTTCTTCAGGACGAAGGGTAGCCTGCCAAACCCATATTTTCCATTCTTTACAGATAATGAAGTTTTCTCTTTATCATGCTCCGATAACTTCATCTACACCAGATTTCAAATCAAGGGTAGTCAAAGATTTGCTCCTACATACATAGATTAGACAAGATCCCTGTGATATCCGGAATCAGGTATTTGTCGCAGATAGATTTTTCGTTAAGCTTTCGAAAATCTATAACCTGGCTCTTGTTCTCTTTACCGGTTTAATTTAAACATTTCTTCTTGACCTCGTCGTTCATGTCTTCACGCAATAACTTTTGCATAACTGTACTGTCTATATGTGTAGATTCGGGTGTGTGTATGTCGTCGCACTTGTGTGGTCATGTATCAATGAACTTCATCCTTACATTGTGGACTTCGAAGTAACCATCTTTAAGATTCATGATTGCGTCCATTGGTTTCAGTATATTTTGTCCCGTTAGTCCGTCAAAATTTTTATTATTGAAGCGGGTTAGTTTCTAACACATGAGATAGTCTTCATTAAATTCCTTAGGGAAGGGAGTGATGCTATTAAAATGTATAAGATGTTGTAATTTTGATCTCTTATTTTGTGGCAATAGGTTTTTATTCAATAGGGAAGTGGTTGATCCCGTATCTAATAAAGGTGTTCTTACGCGATATGTATTTGCATCTGTAAATGTGACTTTTTCAATACATATGTAATTGCTTATGTCTGTCAAATTCAAAGTCTTTATTTAACTATTTAGAAATACGTTCTTTGAAAACGAAATAAACTAAACTCAGATGATTCTATCTGTGTTCAG